AATGAAAACAGGGACATCTTCATCAATAAACAACAACAGTTTTACTATTATTATGCAGCTTCCAACAGATTTTTTAAAAATAAGAAAACACTAAGCATTTTTTTAAAAACTTCCTTATCCAGGGCTATTTTCAGGTGGCTTGGGGGTCGGATAACTCCATACCCTCCAACATTTATCTGATGAAAATTGGGGCATCCTAAGGAACAGCGGGACATTCCAGGATCAAATCAGAAACCGGAATGACTTCTGTAAATAGGGACACTTAGAGGGTCTGCACTGGTTCCCCCGAACCCCAAGTTACCGCTCTGACCCTTAACAACAATTAGAAACTGACCTGCCATCAGTTTGAAAAGTAGGGCGAGAAGCCAAGTTACAGGGAACCAGGCAGAGGGCCTTCTCGGTGGTGGCACCTGCCCTGTGGAACGCCCTCCCACCAGATGTCAAAGAGAACAACAACTACCAGACTTTTAGGAGACATCTGAAGGCAGCCCTGTTTAGGAAAGCTTTTAATGTTTAACAGACCACTGTATTTTAATATTTTGTTGGAAGCCACCCAGAGTGGCTGGGGAGACCCAGCCAGATGGGCGGGGTATAAATAATAAATTATATTATTATTATTATTATTATTATTATTATTGGGTGCAGGCATCTTTGCAAATGCATCGCTCCAGGCACCTTGGTGCAGAATTTGGAGTGATGTGGGAGGAGGCAGAGGAAGCAGATAGGTGCTTGAAAACAGTAGCCAAACCTCCTCCATTTCCTTAGAGATCTTTTGGCACCAATCCTGTGAACAGCGGGAGATGATGACCTCTAGGTGACCGCTCTCCCCCGACCTTGCAGCTGCTTTCTGCAAGGCATTTAATCTAGCTATGCCCTGTCCCAGGAAAAGAATAACCCACTGTGCTATTTATACCCCAAAGCGTACATCTTGAACAGAAATAGCCCCCCGGGCGTCAGAACGCGCTCTCCAGCTTCAGGGCCCATTAGAAAATCTGCTGTCACCAGAAGCAGAAAACCTACGCCATCCACAATGCTACCTAAATATGTCACAGGCGGGGATGAAGCAAAGAAAACCACCACCACTCCACTCAGCAGTCATCGAGGTTCCCAGAACCATAAGGCCCCACAAGCTCAGGGTCAGGACACCTGCTTGGAATGCAGAATGCCCCCAGTTCATATTCAATATATTTAGTTTGGCTTGCCACGTCACTTTGCAAATTTGCACGAAAATTCATCAAATCTTTAATGCTGCAATAGACACATTTCTCTAAGCAATTTTGCCTAATAGGAACTCTTGCAAAGCAAATTCCCTTACTATAATGGTGTAGTGGTTAGAGTCATGTACAGTGGTACCTCGGGTTAAGTACTTAATTTATTCCGGAGGTCCGTTCTTAACCTGAAACTGTACCTCGGGTTAAGTACTTAATTCGTTCCGGAGGTCCGTTCTTAACCTGAAACTGTTCTTAACCTGAAGCACCACTTTAGCTAATGGGGCCTCCCGCTGCCGCTGCGCCGCCGCTGGAGCACAATTTCTGTTCTTATCCTGAATCAAAGTTCTTAACCTGAAGCACTATTTCTGGGTTAGCGGAGTCTGTAACCTGAAGCATATGTAACCTGAGGTACCACTGTACTAGGACTAGGGAAACAGCAGGGTTCAAATCCCCTCTTGGCCATTAAGTCCACTGGGTTGCCTCGGGCCAGTCACAGCCTCTCCGCCTACCTCACAGGGTTGTGAGGAGGGTAAAACAGGACGAGAACCCATGCATGCCACCTGGAGCTCCCTGGAGAAAAGGTGGGATATAAATGTAACAATATATTATAATGCACTTTTGCAGGTCATTTTCACAATTATACGCACTTTTATGAACACTTTACCCCAGTGTATGCATTTGTTTTGTACCCATTACTTGGCTGGGTAAGTGCCCTACAAAATCCACAAAAAGACGGGAGTGTTTTGGCTAGGATTAGGCGGGCTTGTACCTTTTCATGTGAACTGAACCTGATTTATCTCCCATTGCTACATCCTGTTAAAAGGATGTTAGGCAGAGCAAGGGATGGGGGAAAGGATCTAGGAGTCTTGGTTGACCACAAACTTGACATGAGCCAACAGTGTGACGCGGCAGCTAAAAAAGCCAATGCAATTCTGGGCTGCATCAATAGGAGTATAGCATCTAGATCAAGGGAAGTAATAGTGCCACCGTATTCTGCTCTGGTCAGACCTCACCTGGAGTACTGTGTCCAGTTCTGGGCATCACAGTTCAAGAAGGACACTGACAAACTGGAACATGTCCAGAGGAGGGCAACCAAAATGGTCAAAGGCCTGGAAACGATGCCTTATGAGGAACGGCTAAGGGAGCTGGGCATGTTTAGCCTGGAGAAGAGGAGGTTAAGGGGTGATATGATAGCCATGTTCAAATATATAAAAGGATGTCATATAGAGGAGGGAGAAAGGTTCTTTTCTGCTGCTCCAGAGAAGTGGACACAGAGCAATGGATCCAAACTACAAGAAAGAAGATTCCACCTAAACATTAGGAAGAACTTCCTGACAGTAAGAGCTGTTCGACAGTGGAATTTGCTGCCAAGGAGTGTGGTGGAGTCTCCTTCTTTGGAGGTCTTTAAGCAGAGGCTTGACAACCATATGTCAGGAGTGCTCTGATGGGGTTTCCTGCTTGGCAGGGGGTTGGACTCGATGGCCCTTGTGGTCTCTTCCAACTCTATGATTCTATGTCTGCCGTATAATAGTCTAGAGAGAAGGCCAGACAGAGTAAGCCAGAACTGGGTCTGATTCGGCATCAAGCAGTTTCATACACAGAAGAAAACAATTAACAGCCCCCATCCTTAATGACCCGGCTAGCAGCTTGGCTGGGACAAGACGAACAGATGCCAAGCCTTGCTCTCGCTTCCATGCGGCCATTACTGACTATTAGCCGAGCTTCTGTTCCAAGATGCAAACGAAATGGTGATTCATAGACAGGGTGGGTTTTTTATCTGCAAATCTGCTCCCTGATCACAACAATCCCACGGAAGAAGGACCGTTGCAAATCGCCCAGGGGGAGGACAGCAACACAAGGCTATGTTTTGCCTTATATGGTGTCTTGCCAAATGTCCATCCAGTTCAGTATTTTCTACGTTGGCAGCAGCTTTTCAGGGTCTCAGCCAAGCGGTGCCTCTTCCAGCCCTGCCTGGAGAGGGTGGGGATTGAGCCTAGGGCCTCCCCCTAAAAATGAAGCAAGATTCCAGTCCTCATGGTTCTGAATTAAGGGCAATTTAATTGGAAACTGCGGGAACTGCCTTCAGATACTGAGGAAGATATTCCACCTAGCCCAGTATGCCCGCACTGACTTACAGCAACTCTTCAGTAAGGGCCTTACGCTACCTGCTTGAAAAGTAGATGTTGTAGCGTGGAGCACACATTTAAAAGCTGATGTAGCCATTCATTTTGGAGTAAGGCTGGGAAAGACCCAGGTTCAAATCTCCATTCAGCCACAGAGCAGCAGCAGCTCACGTTACAATGGAGCGTTTGAGCGCTCTCTTTGCCACCCGCCCGAACCCATCTTCACATTTCGGCAACACAACACCAAGAGGCTAGCGGAGGTGAAACCCAGTACCAGGGTATCATCTGTCACCATGGAAACAGTGGGCTCCTCCATGCCGCTGTCATGGAAACACAAAGCTACAGAGCAGGATGCGTGAGAAGGAAGATTCTCTGCAGGAATAAAAGGGAGGGGGGAAGGTCAAGCTGTTTGGATTTGGGGTATAACTTCTGGCCACTTCAAAATAAACCAGGCCCAAAGGGACTTTGCTGTCTGAGGGCGATGACGAGACGTAGACACCAACAGCTGTTCAGTCTTGTTTTAATGGCCTGCTGCTCCACCTGCCTCACTTTGTCCTAAGGTAGAATCATAGAACTACAGAATCACAGTGATGCAGGAATATCAACTAAAGTATCCATGACAGACAGCCAACCAACCTCTGCTTGAAAACCTGCAATGAAGGCAGGTCCACAACCTCCTGAGGGAGACTGTTCCACTGTCAAACAGCTCTTGCTGTCTTCCTGATGTTGCCTCAGAATCCCCTTTCTTGTAACTTGAAGCCATTGGTTCGGGTCCTACCCCACAGAGCAGGAGAAAACAAGCTTGCTCCATCCTCCATGTGAGAGCCCTTCAGATATTTGAAGATGGCTCTCATATCTCCTTTCAGTCTCCTCTTTTCCAGGCTAAACATACCTAGCTCCTTCAACCACTCCTCATCAGGCTTTGTTTCCCAACCCTTGATCATCTTGGTCTCCCTCCTCTGCACACCTTCCAGCTTGTCAACATCCTTCTTAAATTGGGGCGCCCAGAACTGGACACAGTCTTCCAGGTGTGGTCTGATCAAGGCAGAATAGGGTCAGATTATTCCTTCCCTTGATCCGCACATTAGACTTCTTCTGTTGATACAGTTAAGAATAGCATTAGCTTTTTTTGCTGCTGCGTCACACGCTGGACTCATGTTAAGCCTGTGGTCCACTAAGGGCTGGCACCACTTCAAGCCTTATAACCTGGAACCTGGGCATAGCTGTCAACTTTTCCCTTTGCTTGCAAGGAATCCTATTTGGAATAAGGGAATTTCCCTTAAAAAAAAGGGAAACGTTGACAGCTATGAACTTGGGAGGTTTGCCAAGTGATCTCAAAAAGGTCCTGGACCTGTGCGTATGCCTGTCACAAAGAAGACAGAGATAATCACCTCCTAACTCAGCGGAAGGGATTTTTTTTCACCAAGGGCCATATTCACTTCTAGGTAACATTCTGGGGGCCACATGCCAGGAGTAGGCGGGGCCAGAAGTAAAAATGGGTGGAGCAATCAGCATTACAAATCTCAGGTATACTTTCTTAGAATCTCTTGATTCCCCCACTTCTTTGAGATATTTGATTTAATGCATATGTTCAGAAACTGTAGGGTTTGTTTGTTTTAAGCAACAAATAAGAGGGAGGCTAGAAATCACCACTACCACAGAGCTGTGGCTTTTTAATATTGGAAAACTTTTATTTTATTTTTTTTCTCTTCCAAATGAGCACCAACACATATCGTAAATAGGTCAACAAATGCTTCCTTCCTTCTAATACTGAAGTACTATGTACAATTATACAAAGGACATGACGAGGTGAAGACCCCCCCCAAAAAAAGAAAAAAGAAAACCCCCAAACAATTAAAAACATTTATTACTGAAGCAAAAAAACGACCTGAAGAATATGCCAAACAATAAAAATAAAATACAAATAAAACAAAAACCCAAGAAATATGTACACACAGTTTGTAAACACAAGGGCGTCAACACGACAGGCTGGTATTGGAAAAATAGTTGCTTCATTTAAAGAAAGCATCAAGGTGCCCATTGTCTCTTACCCATAATGCTATTCTGCTCACAGATAAGTGGGCAGGGTTTTTTTAAAATTTAAAGTTAAAAACCATTTGTTTTCTCCTTCTTCAACCGTTTCCCAGCATTCAACTTCCTTTTTCTTTTTTCTTTTAAAAAAAGATTCCTGAAAGTCAACACACAAACAAATATTCCAGAACATTCCACTCCCCGGTTTTCTCTCAGACAGGTAAAGCATTTCTTCAGCTACTCATTCATTTCTTTCATCATGAGCGATGCAAAGCTGGGTTGTGTGTGTGGTGGGAAGTGCGATTCTTCCTCATCTTTGAAATGATACTATGAAATGTATATTTAATACATAATTATCTCAGTCCAAAAACACAGACATACACACAGGAATAAAAAACAAACAAACCAATACGCGAACACGAGGAACAAGAGATTTCACCTGCTTGTTTTGTCGTTTAAAATGTGTGTGCACCAGAAAGTTTTATGGGAAGGGGCAGGGCGTGTGGAGAAATGAAGCACATGCAGCATTGATCAAGCACACTGCCAAAGAGTCATATTGCCAAAGCGCAATCCAATCATTTGTGCTGTTGGTCCACTTGGGAGATTTATAGAGCAATCAAAACTGGGGTAAAAGGAAAGACTTAACAGCGACGGAAAAAAATAAGAGACCCATTAACGCCAGAGATGTAAACATGTCGCCAGAATCTAGAACAGTGATGGCCAAACTTGGCCCTCCAGCTGTTTTGGGACTACAATTCCCATCACCCCTGACCACTGGTCCTGTTAGCTAGGGATGATGGGAGTTGTAGTCCCAAAACAGCTGGAGGGCCTAAACAGAAAGAATCAGAGGTTGCCACCTTTTCTTTCTGACCCTGCTCCTTTAAATGACAGCTAAATAGAGCCACTGAGATGTCACAGGAGGGGAGGAAAAAGACCCCCCCTCACTAGTTCCTCCCCATGCTGAGAAATTTTGCTCTGCCTGCAAATTTGTGTGTGAGGGTGCTGTTAAAAAAAAGGTGGCAACCCTAGACAATATCTGCTGCCGCACACCCCAAAAACCTAAAACAGGAGGCCTGCTTACATTACAGAGACCGGTGGCTAAAGAACAGGACAGGAAGCAGCTTGTGCTGTTTGGAGATATTATTATTTAAAAAAAGGACAATCTATGTTGTCAACTCACTTGCCTTGCTATGCTGCCTGCCACTTGAAGCCTCATTCTAGAAGACAGTTTCCATATTATTCACCTTACTGAATTAGATGGTTCACCTGGTAAAACAGAGATTTACGGAAATCCGGCAGCAGAGATTCACGAGCTACTTCTTGTTGTGAACAGAGCACGGCCATTGCTAGTGCTATAGTGACTCCGGAGGCAATGAACAAGCTCTGAAATTGATTCTTTGGTCTGGTTCAGAGGAAGTCTCTACATACAGACATATAGACAGAGGTGGCCCAATACATTTGGTGGTGCCTAAGGCAAGAAAATCTAAATGGTACCTCCCTCCCGCCCCTCCACGGTAAACATATAACGAAATAAATAAATCATAGACAAGTTTCGATACGAAATCATTCCTGCATCGTGCAGCGGAACCTAGCTAATGCGTCCAGAGGGAAAGTCTGGGGCGGTGCGAGAAATTAAGACCCGGCGAGTCCAATGAATGGGGTGCCTGTTGCACCTCTCTTGCGGTAGGGGAGGCACATGCTGAACGCGGACTCATGCAGAGACACACAAGAGATGGGCTTCTCCGGGGCAGTGGAGAGGGTGGTTTCACTGGTTGTGGCTGCTCCCACTGATGGCAGGGATAGAGGGGAGAGAGATGTTGATGGACAAAAACTCCCTTCACCCCCAACACCACTAGCCGCGTCCGGAGAGCCATTGATGTTCCCTAGGCTGTCAATCAAGTTGAAGGGAACGACAAACTAATCCACCCCTGTTTGGATAGAGAACTGCTCATGTTAGCCTACAACGCCAGAAAGGAGGAAAGAAGACAGTGTCTTTCAAGAACTGTTCCCAGGTCCAGATAAGGGTCTCAGCTAGGCCAAGGCCACATCCGCACCCAGCATTTAAAAGCAGTTATAACATTTTAACATACCCCTCAAGTGTCCCGGGGGGGGGGGGAGGGAAACTCTGTTTCTTATTGTAAGAGAACAGTGGCCATTTGGGTTGCTGTGATCTCGCGGCATGATTTCTCCCGCAAAATGTGTTTTTGTGGGGGTTGCGATTTCACACAGTGCCCAGAACTTAGGCTGTGCAATTTTTGTTTCCCCCCCAAAAAGCTCACAACTTTGCGGGTGTCAGGAATTTTACTTTTTGAAATATGGCAACCGATCCCTCTTCCCAGGGAACTCTGGGAACTGTAGTTCTGAGTGGGGAATAGGGGGGCCTTCCTAACCGCTCTCAGTACCCATGACAAACTAAGGCTCCCAGAATTCATTGGGGGAAGCCATGACTGCCTAAAGGGGTACCACAGAGCTTTAAATGTATGGTGCAGATATGGCCTAAGGCCCAGGCCACAGCTTTGCAGCGGCTGAGGTGTTCCTAGGGTGTCCCTTGACAAGAAGATCAGGCAGCTCAGAAACTAGAAAACAGTCATAGAGTAGCTCAGGAATCTACTTTAAGGAAGCAGACAAACCCAGTAAGTCTTGAGAGATTTCCCAAACAGAGGCTTCCGTCTAACACCCCGCCGTTATCAACCCCGGACACAAAAGACTAGACAGCCTGGTGCTATTTAAATCCTTCCAAACCACAACCTAAACTTCCTTGCTTCTAAGTATAGCTCAACATCTGGTTTTGTCTACCTTGCGCTTTAGCCGTGACAAATGCCACCCCCTTCAGATGTAGGTACAAGTCACGTCCCAACTGAAATCAATGAAAGTCCAGCTTATGTTAATGGAGTTAGAATTATATCTCTTTCTTCTGACACTACATTTGGCCCTGCCTTGACAAATATATATGAGGGTCTGTTCCCATTTTATCCTAACAAGAACACTGAAAGATGGCTTTTCCTGAAGAGATTCAGGGAGCTCTTTGACACTTGAGTGCCCGACTTGAAAACATGTTCCCCTGATTCAAATCTGAACACCCCAATTATTGTATCGTACAAACATGTTTTCCACACTTCTCTCTGGGACAACGATGAGGGTGCTCCAAAGACAGAGACTTTGAAAAGACGAAAAGGCACAAGATTTAAAACAACATCATGCAAAAGTTAGCAGCATAGCGTAAGCCATTGAACGGCACTCACTGAGATTATCAGGAGCAATCTACATACACTCAAATGGAAGTCCCAAGACAAGGAATTATTTCAACATCTGTCTCTGTCTACATTCAAGAGTGTGAATTACCGCGCATCCCTGAATTTATTTATATACTTAAAAGTGAATCCTTGCCTCCAGACGTTCCAATGGGCTTCTCATTAACCACGAAAACTGGCTGTATTTTAGTTTCCTCCCTGCCCTGCATTTCTTAAGGTCTTGTTTGATTTGAACGCAACTCCCTGCTAACAAACATCTGCCTAACATCTGCATTATTTCCCTTTAAATAATAGTTTGCAAGACAGAGAGAGAATAAAAGTTTAGAAAAATCCAAAACTGTAACACGCAAAAGTGGTTTGGTGGGGGGGCCGGCGGGGTGTAAAAGACCACATATATATTATTTTTTAAAATTCAACATTATTAACATAAAAAGTACATATGCTACTGCCTTGTATGGTATGTAGATATTATAATCAGGGTGTCATTTTTATATGATCCAGGAACCGAAAGGGAAGAACCAAGTGGAATGGGCAAGGGGAGGAATAACCCTATCAAATTCTGCAAGTCAGAGGGATATAATTCAAGATCTATTATTTCCATCAGCCAAGGGGAACTCACTATGAGACAGGGACGGTGTTTCCACCTACAACCTGTAGGATTCAGGGGGGAATGGCCATGGTTCTAGCCCTCATGATCAGGAGATAACTTCAACTCTCATTGCTTAATGTTTGTTTTTAATCCCCCCCCCCCCCCGGAGACAACGGCTGACCTCTGCAGTCTGCTACCCATCAGGAAAATATGGTACCTATCAACTAACTTGGGGACAAAAAAAATTAGCCAAGTTCTTTGGTCATGCTGTAAAAAGAGAGAAATCAAATTTCCAAAAGCCATTGATTCAGAACACAGTGTTTTTGAGCATAAACTCAAAATCACCGGGGGGAGGGCATCAGGATGCTGATGGGCTTCGAACTCCCAGCAGCCCCAGCGGCCAGCATGGCCAATGGTGAGGGACGATGGGAGTCCAACAACGTCCAAGAAGGCCTCAGGTTCCCCACAAGTAGTTTAGGGCACCTACTTTTGCTTTCCCCCTTCCATTACCAAACACAAAACGCTGTCACACGAGTCTGTACTCTAAGAGCAGGTGATGGGTGATTTAGCAGCAAAATCTAGCAAAAGTTAAGAAGCACTTGAGGTTAATGTTTTAGCAGAGCAGGAAGACTGAAACTAGATCTCAGAAGGGACAGGCCAAAAGGGTGCTTCCGATATCAAATGGTTTAAGAGAGGGGAATGGGCTGCAGCCACACAATAAAAATGGGGTGTCCTATCAGGTAAACAACATCGCTTGTAGTGGAACAGGCTTGGATTTTGAGAGACTGGACTTCCCAGGTCCAAGCTGGGTATTGCACTGTTATTAGGAGTAGCATGTAAACAGGTGGTGTGGAGATGTATCAAGACTCCTGCTTATCCTTTCATCTGCAAAGGCAGCAATTCATGGATCTTGCCCCACAGACAGATCTGTGCCCTGAAATTAAGCGTTTTGCTACAAAGAATGATTATGGGGGAGCTTCTCTTGCACCATCAGAGCCAATTAATCAGCAAACATTAGTGATTGAACCTAATTCCCTCCTCCTCGCCCCAAATTTTCTCTTTGCTTATCACTCTCAAGTGGGCATCCCCCCCCCACTGCTGCTAACCTGAGTTTCTGCCGCAGAAAAAGGAATCCCAACAGGAGGCCATGAAGACCGGATGGTTCTCAACGCCTGCCCTGACCAAAATAAACAACAACAAAAACCCACACCATGGGCTATACTGGATCTCTTTCTTGCCAGCAGATTGCAACAGATTTGCAGAGCAGATTAACCTACATGAGAAGATTTCCACCAATAAAGCAAGGGTGGAATGAGAAAAAGAGAGAGGCAGCGAGGGGGGAAGGATGGAAAGGAATTCATTTAGATGTGTACAAATTCAGCCTGACTTCACTTGTCAGACACCGGAGTCACTTTGATGCAGAATGCAAATTCACAGTATCACTGACAATGCACTGAAATGCAAAAAAACAGGGGGCTCTCAAAGCTCCCCCCTTGCGGCCCCATGTGTCCCCCCCAAAAAAAGACCCCTTAACTTGACCAGAGGGAGGCCTTGAAGCAAAACAGGAGTGATTCAAAAGAAGGCTACCCCCCTCTGCCATGCACAACCCTGGCCCGACATAGAACATTGGCAAGTAATATTCTACACACACCCTGCAAATCTTAACAGACAGTTAACATGTTTAGCCAGATCCAATGGAGAAAGCAATTTCTTCTAATATAGTGGAGAGGGAGAGGCAGACAAGGATTCTCACAGGTCTTGCATTGGGAAACTGAGGCCCCGCTGCTTTCTGATGGCCACTCAACCTTGGTGCAACACCAGGAGTAAGACAGCATCTTTCCTTCCCAACTGGGAAGGACAATTTTGACAGTAGCCCCAGATTTGGGCAGGCTAAAATGACCCGCCATCGTTTGTGAACTCTCCCCTCTTCTATACAGAGCCGTTGCTCTATCTCTCGCACCGAGTAGAGAACACTACTTAACAGAGTAGAGGAAAACTGTGGCCCTCCATATGCCACTAGACTACAACTCCCATCATCCTTGACCCTTGGGCCATGCTGGCTGCTGAGAACTGGAGTCCAACGGCACCTGGGGAGGCTGCAGGGTTCTCCACCTGGAGGTTTTTAAGAGTCCTCTGCTTCTTTCAGAGCTGCCTCTGTTCAAAACACTCACACCCCCCCCCACTGCTGAACCAGAACTTAACACACACTTAGGCTCTGAAACATTTGTTAGTGCCTGAGTCCACCACCCCTGTTGTGTTTTTGTTCTTTTTAAGAGTCACACTTAACAGCACAAGTGCAGGTCGTCCAACTTATCATCTGCAGAAGCGATCCAGGCTTGTTTCCATCATCCTAGTGAGACCAGTCAGCCCCCCTCCCCGCAAAAAAAATTCAAGCAGTCAGGAGGCTGCAAAACTGCCAGCAATTTTGTTAAGGATATAGATCACCACCTCCTTGTTCTCCTTGCCCCCCCCCCGCCCGCCTCAAATGTATTCGCTCCATTCAGTTTTGAAGAGGGACACGCTTCCTGCACTTGGAAGTGTCAACGTAGTGGGAAGAAAATGGCGAAGGGTTTCCGATCTCCCAACATCAGCACCGCAGCGTTTGGGTGGGCTTGTTCACTGGGGAACAGGAGGCCAGGGACCTGTGTTTACACACCCTCCTCTCAAATCAAACATTAGTACGAAAAAGACGAAAATCCAAAGAGATCACTTAAAAAAGAAACAAGCAATCAAACGAGGAACACAGACCAGTCTGGGGATGCCACTAGCGACGAGTTTTTAGGCTACAGTCTTTGAGATGCAGAGAGGATACAGCCATGAGGTATATATATTTTTTTCTGCGGTCCACAAGTTTCAAGCCATGGTTGACCAGGAATTTTTTTAAAAGGCCAAGCGGGGAAAGGGGTAGGGGCGATGCAACTCTCCCGCCCGACGTCTGAAGACCCAGCACTCCTTCCCTCGTGCCGGGATCCTTGGATTAAAAAAAACACACACACACCACCCCAAAACCAACCTCCAGTTTGTACTGAGACAATGTCACTTAGGAAACGGTTTTGGGGGGCACCGAGTTTGAGTCCTCCTTACATCTATACGCACCCCCAATGCCAGAACACAGAGGAGTAAGGGAGCTGGGCAGGGGAGTGGGGGAGGAGGAAGGGGACCAGAAGTCAACTCACAAACAAGAGACAAAAGCAAAGAGAGACAGAAGTTATCGAGGCCAGTCACCGCTAAGGATGGCAGGAAGGGTTCTGTGAGGAAGCATCTCAACACGACGATGACGACGACAAGCCCCCAAACGCACGGAACCAAACGGTTGTCAGTCACTCGCTCATATATATATGTGTGGGGTTTTCCGGGAGATAAAATGTTCGGTAGGATGACAAACTCCCTCTCTCTCTCGCCCGTGTTCGGCGTGCGTCTCCTCGCCATTCAATCCCAGCCGTTGTCCTTGATCATGTGAGCTAATTCAATGATGTATTTGCCTTCCTTATACTTTTGACTGCTTTCAAACGCGTGTTCCTGGAAAGGGAAAGAGACAGAATCAAAACAAGGGAAAGGAGCGAAGTTCCTCCTGGGTCTCAGTCCAGGGACTGCGATGTCCGGAAACAGAATCGAGTACCTTCCGCATGCAAAGAAGATACTGTACTACACACTGAGAGCCAGTGTGGTGTAGTGGTTAAGAGCGGTGGACTCGTAGTCTGGTGAACTGGGTTCGATTCCCCGCTCCTCCACATGCAGCTGCTGGGTGACCTTGGGCCAGTCACACTTCTCTCTGAAGACTCTCAGCCCCACTCACCTCAGAGAGTGTTTGTTGTGGGGGAGGAAGGGAAAAGGAGATTGTTAGCCGCTTTGAGACTCCTTAAAGGGTAGTGAAAGGCGGGATATCAAGTCCAAACTCAAACTCTACTGAGCTACAGCTCTTCAGTAAGGAATCTGGACAGCACCAGGTTAGGGAAGGAGGTCAGGTGGGTCCAGGAGATTTTCCCACCCCTCTTGCATTACTGTGGGAACTGTGATCATCATCTGACAGTACAGCTCCAGTGTGAAATGGACAGTCACCACAGACAGGAGCTCAGCTTCTTTTAAAAGCCAGCTGAAGTGTGCAAAAGTTGTGGGCCTTTTCTAAACATTGTGTATTAGCAGAGGTTTTGGAAGGAAATTTACAGAGGCTCACTTTTTTTCTTTTTGGTTCCTGAACTGCCCAACCGTGTTTTGGAAACATAATCCGATTGTTCAAAGGACTGAGGGTTTTAGCGCCTGGCTGGCGTGAACTCCCAAGGTCCCTTTTGCAACAGGATCAAGTTCACGGATTTATCCCAGAGGCTGAAATGTTGCTAACTTCCCCAGCTGCTCAGCAGCCAACCCCAACTCCAACCTTGCTGTGGAAGAGGGCACCTCTCTCGGGTCTTTTGCACAGCTCAAAGCCAGAGTAGGCTTCGCCACACCGCCAAAAGGATCAGCTAGCTGGTATTCAGAAAGAGACCTTGTCCCAGGAATAAAGCATGTGTTTTATGCAGAATCAGAGCGTTGGTGCATCTAGCTCAGTACTGTCTACACTGGCCGGCAGCAGCTCTCCCCTAGGTTTTGGGCAGGGAGGGGACATTCCCAGCCCTATCTGGAAATGCAAGGGAATTGAACTTTCCTGCATACAAAGCAAGGGCTTTGCCACTGAGCTACAGCTTGCCCTCTAAAAATAAAAGGAGATTCCAGTTATCACAATAATAATAATAATTTAGTATTTATACCCCGCCCATCTGGCTGGGTTTCCCCAGCCACTCTGGGCAGCTTCCAACAAAACACTAAAATACAATAACCTATTAAACATTAAAAGCTTCCCTAAACAGGGCTGCCTTTAGATGTCTTCTAAAAGTTTGGTAATTATTTTTCTCTTTGACATCTGGTGGGAGGGCGTTCCACAGGGTGGGTGCCACTACCGAGAAGGCCCTCTGCACTGGACCTCAGTGTCCGGGCAGAACGATGGAGGTGGAGACGCTCCTTCAGGTATACTGGACCGAGGCCGTTTAGGGCTTTCAAGGTCAGCACCAACACTTTGAATTGTGCTCAGAAACGTCCTGGGAACCAGTGTAGGTCTTTCAAGACTGGTGTTATGTGGTCTTGGCGGCCACTCCCAGTCACCAGTCTAGCTGCCGCATTATGGGTTAGCTGTAGTTTCCGGGTCACCTTCAAAGGTAGCCCCATGTAGAGCGCATTGCAGTAGAGTGCATTGAACGAAGGGCCAAAGGGGACAAGATTTTAAGAAACAACAACACTCACGTATTTCCAGCCCAGCGTGGTTTTGCAGTTTTCACAGTAAATGTCAGCAACCGCATGCAGTCCTGTTAGCAAAACCCGTTCTTCTGCAGGGCCACAGCCCACATTAACTCTGCAAATGTGGGAAGAAGGAAGAGAGAAGTTTTGATTTGCAGATCCAGTTCCATTTTGCTGCAGCAGCTGTGCTCCTCACTAAGCACACCTCTGTTCTTATTTGCATAAATCAGGATCATGCCACTTCAAGCAGTCATTGGCTTGTTAACCGGAAAGGGCAGGGATGGGGAAACCCATGGCTCTCTAGACACTGCTGGACTCAGACTCCCATCAGCCTCAGCCAGCATGGGCCAACACAAAGGGATGATGGGAGTTGTATTCCAGCAACAATCTGGAGGGCGGAAGGTTCCACCTCTCCCTTTCTGACGACAACAGTGACAACGGAGAGGGGGGTGGGGGGTGGAACCCAGACACTTACACTGAATTGAAGAGATAGGCCCGGCCCTGGCTTCCTTGAAAAGACTGTAAGGCAAAATAAAAATAGTGTTTGTCATGATGAAAGTCACACCCTGTCAACAACCAAAAAATAAAAATCAGTCCCTGATGAATTATTAGCAGTGATCTCAGTTGCAGCAGCACGATTTTGCACCTGGGTGGGTGGGGGAGAGAGCATCCTTTTAACCCAGAAGAGGCTGGCAGCGATTAATTCGCTCCATCCTTGTGGATCCTCTCTGCAAAGAAAAAAACAACAACACCCCAACTCTAGTTGGTGCAAATCCCTGACCTCACCACCCTCTGGAGCAGTTATGGGGAGAAAGAAAAGACCCAGAAGTGTCTGTTCAAGGAAACTTGGATTCTTGCAGTCTGCAGGTCAGAAAAGTTAGCAGTGTAGGAGGAGATGTTTAAGAGGATGAGAGAATAGTGTACGTTGTAGGTTGGGGAGAGGGAGAGAGAGAGAAGCTCAGATTCTAGTTTTAAGATAGTGAAATGGTCTTTTAGATTACATCTAGTTATAATCTGGATTGCATCTAGATTACAAAAATGCATCTAGATTACAAAAATAAAAATAAAAAGGGCTTGCAATATTTTCAGACTTTGGAACATAGTTAATTGGCATAACAAACCCCAGACCTTCTGATCCCAGGGTCCTCTGTTGACATACCAAATGCCGGATCTCCAGATTGCAAGACCGCCCCCCCCCCACTCCAGCCAGAGGTTTATGGCACCTCTGACTCTCTGTCCTCAAGTGACATTAGCAACCAGCTCTCCTCTGGCCTCACCCCCCCCCTTCAAACACACAAATGTACCAGACACCTTTTGATTGGTCCCCTGACGGCTGACTCAATTACATGAAATGGCCCGCCCACAAGAAGAATAAACAGACTCCACCTCCATTTAAAGGGCTACCCCCAACCCCATCTCCCCATCTGAGTTTTGCAGAGTGGAACACAGACCATTTCCCCTCCCCTCCAACCTCTTGGGATGTTTGCAAACACACACACACACACACACAAACACAACACCATTTGGTTTGAATTAAATATGTGGCAAGGAAACTTTTCCATCTCATGCGAAGGTTTCAAAGAGCCACACACCCTTTGTGAAGAACAGAGAACATAGTAAGCCAGACTATGGAAAACAAAACAAAAGCTGTCTGTGTATGTGTGTTCCCCATCCCAGCTCAAATAAATAGGTAGGGTTGGTTTTTGAGTTTCTCATCAAAACCAGCCAAGAATAGTTCCTGCACTGCTAACTGTAAGGCAGACACTCTCATCTTCCAACAGAACAATTGTTTTCTTCAAAGTCTGGTGAAAGACACACCAGCATTTTACTTCTGCCTTGCAGCAACCGAAGTTTCTGGCCCACAGACATTCCTGCTACCCTGCCTGCCCAGACAGAATTTCTAATAAACTAGGGATGGGTGAGCTGTTTCATGGCCAAGGGCAAAAAAAGAAAGAAACAACTACTCTCTGATTTGAAGAAGAAACCTTGACTGCCTGATCACCTAGAGGAAAACTCTGACTCGCCACAGGAGACTAAGCATAAATCACCTCCCCCAGAACTGCAAGGCTGAGCTAACTGTTGGAACTGCTTAGCCACCCAGATGCACAAGATAGGTATGAATTAATTTGATAGCTCCTGACCCTAGTCTTTCAACCTGATTTCCACCTGATTTCATGGCTGCTTAACACAAGGTCCTTGCTCGGGTCTCTGCACTAGAGACATTAGGAATCGTAAACAAGGGACTGCAGGAATAATTCATTCTTTCTCACACACACTCTCTCTGCAGGGTTTTCATCCGGCTTAAAAAAAATCTTTGATTAGCCCCAGAGAGGGACCCAATTACCATAGAAACACTTAGCAGATTTCAGATCCGAAAGGTCAACGCCGAAGCTGTTGATCCCCCTCAGGTCAGATGGAATGATTCAGATCTATTTTTAATCAGCAGTCGCAGCTCCTACACCCACTCCATTTCCCTTCCAGCCCACCAGTTCAGAAATCTCCACCAGAGGCTTAAAAATAAAATAAACAAAGCACCTCACACACACCCCCAAGAAGCAGGCCACAAGATACCTCTGGAGTGTGCAAGGGGGCGGACAGTGGGGGATGGACTTTAAATTAGTTGAAGGGGGGAAAGGAGGCCAAACCACAGAGTGGGAAGGAGCTGTAACGGAGTGGTAGGACATCTGCTTGAAGTGTAGAAGGCCTCAATGGCATCTCCAGGTAGGGGCTGGGAAAAGACTCCCTTACCTGAAATCCTGGAGGACTGTGGACAATATTGAGCTATATGGACCAATGGTCTGACTGTATATGGCAGCTTTCTATGGGGATAGATAATCAAGAGGAAAGGACGCTGCTGGCGCTGTGGGTTAAACCACCGTGCCGCTTGGGCTTGCCGATCGAAAGGTTGGCGGTTCGAATCCTCGCGATGCAGTGAGCTCACGTTGCTCGGTTCCTGCTCCTGCCAACTTAGCAGTTTCAAAGTGCAAATAGATAAATAGCTACCGCTCTGGTGGGAAGGTAAATAAATGGCGCTTCCATGTGCTGCTCTGGTTTCGCCAGAAGCGGCTTACTCATGCTGGCCAAATGACCCGGAAAAACTGCCTGTGGAAGCGGACAAACGCCACAACCCCAGAGTCGTTCGCAACTGGACCTAATGGTCAGGGGTCCCTTTACCCTTTATCTTTAATCAAGCGGAAAGGTAACTTTGGCCCCCCCCCAAATTATGATGAACACACATTAGTATAGGGGCAGACTTTGGTAATCTTTCATATTATGGAGCCCTGTGCAAGACCCCAATCTGGCACTCCTAAATGGGTCGTCTCAATTTTGTGCCCCCTCGGCTTGGCACCCTTTTGAGGGGGGACAGCCCTAAATTGGGTACTGCATTAGCATATAAATATGTGCATTCTCCCCCACAGGCTGCCCTGCTATGGCAGGGCGTAATCTGCCCCTCAGGAATCCTAGGCTCCCTCTGGAAGATACAAAGCTAATATACATGCAGCCAATCGGAAGCAGCGTCGGACGTTCGGGTTCCAAAGAACGTTCACAAACCAGAACACTCATTGAGATCCAGCGCCGAGGGCCTTCTGGTGGTTCCCTCATTGCGAGAAGTGAGGTTACAGGGAACCAGGCAGAGGGCCTTCTCGGTAGTGGCACCCACCCTGTGGAACGCCCTCCCTTCAGATGTGAAGGAAATAAGCAGCTATCTTATTTTTAAAAGACATCTGAAGGCAGCCCTGTTTAGGGAAGTTTTTAATACAGTGGTACCTCAGGTTACATACGCTTCAGGTTACAGACTCCGCTAACCCAATAATACTACCTCGGGTTAAGAACTTTACTTCAGGATGAGAACAGAAATTGTGCTCTGGCGGCACGGCAGCAGCAGGAGGCCCCATTAGCTAAAGTGGTGCTTCAGGTCAAGAACAGTTTCAGGTTAAGAACAGACCTCCAGAACGAATTAAGTCCTTAACCCGAGGTACCACTGTATTTAATGCTGTATTGTTTTTAACACTCGACTGGGAGCCACCCAGAGTTGCTGGGGAAACTCAGCCAGATGGGTGGGGTATAAATAAATTTATTATTATTATTATTATTATTATTATTATTATTATTATTATTATGAGTTTGCAGTGTTCAGGAGCCAGCGCGTTTGACTCACAAGGCATTTGGGATCCAAGGTATGACTGTATGTGCTTTTCAAGGGGTTCATACTAATTCTGCTGGACTCAAATTTTGCCCAGATTTGTCTTCCTGGGTGTCAAGAGAGGGAGTGATTTGATGGAGGCGGGAAGAGATGTCACCGGAGGTGGTGGCACTCGCGGTCTTTGCTCAAACGTCTTAATGCAGCTGCTGTACAACGTAAACATGCAGCCACTTATAATGCAATGTGGAGATATTAACGCAGCTTTCTTTCACGTACCTGCTGGGAAGACTGCGGTGTTAATATTCACAAGGAACACCGAACATCCGGAGCTCTATATAAATGCTAATTCTTCTTACATAATACTACCCTTACAGTTCTCTCTTATCTCGTTGGGAAACAGCTTTACAAACAAAAGAATCCTACTTCTGAAAACAGGAGAACGGCAATTTATTCCCTCAAGACTGACAGGTGGTGGAGAAACCCAACAAGTTAAATCATCCAGATTTACTACTGGGGGGAAAATAATAAGAATTTAAGCAAGTAGACTGCCTTGGCCCAATAAAAAGCCCAGAGGATTCGCGGCCCTGACATGAATTATGAGATGATAAACGGGATCTGTGTGGTTTTTATCTGAAATATTAATCTGGAAATGAACGGAAATGCAGGCATGAGGCAGAAGCGTGACGCAGCGTCTAAAAGGGCTAATGCAATTCTAGGCAGCATCAATAACAAAGAAACAAAAAGGCGAAGTGACCAAATAATGAGAAGTAATGGCAATGTTCTGGAATGTTCCCCGGGGCAAAGAGATAAAAATGGCGAGGGGGTTGGAGACCAAGTCGTGTTTGGGAAAGGCAGAATATGTTTAGCCTGGAGGCAGGAACAGGAAGAATAACCTGCTAGTTCAGGCTAAACCAGTTCAGCGCCATGATCTCACAGGGGCAAACCAGATGCTTAAGCGAAGCCTGAAAGTAGGAACTGAGAGAAACACTTCTGGTTCCCAGTATACTGTCTCCGAGTGAGGGGAGGATTAGGGGAAGGGGCAAAGAGACAATGTAGAGCAATGGTCCTCCAACTTCTCCCTCTACCTCGGACCATTTGAAAATTGCTGAGGGTCTTGGTGGAACACTTAACGAAACGCCCTCCCGTCAGATGTCAAGGAGATAACTAACTATACAGTGGTACCTCAGGCTACATACGCTTCAGGTTACATACACTTCAGGTTACAGACTACGCTAACCCAGAAATAGTGCTTCAGGTTAAGAACTTTGCTTCAGGATGAGAACAGAAATTGGGCTCCGGTGGCACGGAAGCAGCAGGAAGCCCCATTAGCTAAAGTGGTGCTTCAGGTTAAGAACAGTTTCAGGTTAAGTACGGA